CGTTCGATATCGGCATTAATAATCCCTCTTGCGAGTGCCGTTTTTCCGGAGAATGTACCGCTCTCTTTGGGCTTTCTGGTGGAATAGCCAGCCGATCTCGTGCCCAATCCACAGACGTCTTCTTTGTGAACCAACCGTCAAAATCGTGTTTCCGTGGCGTTGTTCCAGCTCACTCTAGTGAAGGTGTCGACCCGGCGGCAGAGTGATGGAGGGTCCGGCGGAAGCGAGCTGTCTCTCCTTTCTCCAAATACGCTCAACTTCACTCTTCGCAAAGAAATGTTCGCTCCAACTATATGTGTCCGCAAACATTCATTGCTATAGTGCAAGACACGCCTGAGCAGCCGTTTAATCTGTGCTGCTATAGACGATGTAGGCATGCATCGTCTGCCACTACCCACAATCTTAGCTACGACTTTCCAGCAGTTGTTGTCAAGCCCTTTAAGAGTTAAGTCCAGCAGTACTGCTAACTGCGGCAGAGGTATGCAGAACGCAGAGGCACAACATTGTTTCCGCACTTGACAACCTAGCGTTCAATCTGCCCAAAACTTTCAGCATTTTCTGTTTCAATGTACAAAAGTTATGGGCGACGTCGCCTCTAAAAGTGTGGGCTGCTACAAAGATGTGCGGGCTACCTAGAGTTATGTGCCGCCCTCGGCCACGTTAGCCCGCACTCGTGCACTTCTGTCCGCACTCTCCCGCACTCGCTAGCACATAATTTTGAGGCGTATTGAGATTGTTTGCCGGTCTACCTTCGGATTTGCGGGTTATAGTAAAGATGTGCGGACTACTACATGCTCTGGCCCTAAGCGCTACAGTAGCTCGCACTCGCGCAGTCCTGCCCGCACTTACGCATTTATGCCCGCACTCTTCCGCACTTACTAGCACATGATTTTCAAACGGCTTGAAGCTCTTTGCCGGATCGTTTTCGGATTTGCGGGTTACAGTAGTAGCATATTAACCCGCACTCACGCAGTCTTGCCCGCACTCTTCGGCACTTGCTAGCACACGATTATAGGACGTATTAAAGCTGTTTGCCGGGCTGCATTCGGATTTGCGAGGTGCAGGGAAGATGTGCGGACGTACGCCTGTTTTCTGCAGCCGAAGGCATGTTAGCCCGCACTTATGCAATCTTGCGGGCACTCTCCCGCACTTTCTAGCACATAATCTTAAGACGCGTTAGAACGGTTTGCCGGGTTGCGTCTTGTTTTGCGGGCCAAAAGTGTGAAGTGCCGGCGTCTTGGGCCATGTTGCGGCATGCCATACCGCACTAGAGAACGCTTGGACGATTCCTCCAGCACTTGCTACTATATGTCTCTAAGTTAGATATAAGTACCTTCCTAGGTCGACTGTAAGTTTGCTAGCTACATAAGACATATGCGGTCCTGCTAGGCGAATTTGTAGCCTGCGAGCCCGCACTCGCGTACCCTCGCATACTAACCCCCGCACTTTCAGCATATAATTGTAGGTTACACTAAAGTGTTTTGCCGGGTTGCATTTGGCTTTGCCGGGTGTCTGGCGGAAGTGCTGCCCTCTGATCGATTTTGCAGCTTACCGACCCGCACTCGCATACAGTTGCTCAGAGCTCCCCGCACTTCTTAGTAGATGCTTTTCAGATGCGTATATTCATTTGGCAGGGCTCTATGTGTGTTTGCCGGGTGTCTAACAGAAGTGCGGACAGCTGCTGCTAGCCCTCTCTGCAGCACATCGACCCGCATTCACGCAGCACTGCTCCAAACCACCCGCACTCGCTAGCAAAACATTTTGACACCTATAGAAGTTGTTTGCC